TTTCGGAGACGATCCAGATATCAGTATACGTCAGATGAACCTAGAATCGTACATCTCATAATATCACATGGAGGTTACTTCAAGAGCAACCCCTGAATCCGTATCAGTTGCAACGTGTGCAGATTATTTCGCCCCCTTGTCAATCACCACAGGAGGACTTTTACCGATGGTTTTTGCACTCTAGTCTTGATTAAACAAGGGGCAACATTTAGAAGAGATGGAATAGCAAATATAAACAACTAATATTTGTGGGATAATCAGAATCCCTAGAGTACTGTTATAGTGGAACACACCTATTCTATAGTTAATAGACTCTCCCACCTATAATAAGTAGGAGTAGTAAGAGTAACGAGCAGTCGGCTCAGTGGGTCGGTCTGTCAGTCGATGCCGGACAACCGTTAGTCGGATACTAAAGTATCAGCGACCACAACTAGATTTCTCTGCGTCATTACCTATTATATCAAGTTCCTATCGTTTTGTACGTCAAACCTATTTTAGGACCGACTTACTACAAATACAAACCTCCACTGTGAAACTACTCCATAACAAGTACAATACTGGCTAGACACCAGCATCAGTTTATGATTAATGTGTGGGCTGGAATTGTAGGTCCTTATGGTCTAACAGCATGTCTTTTGAACACACTCCCAGACCTGCTAGAGGATGTAACCCTGCTAATAGGAAGACGCGTGTAGTGCATGTATGATAGGGCTCCATCACATTTTAGTCACATGCACTGGCTGACATCTACAATGAAAGATGGATAGATAGATAGGGGAGGGCCAGTTCCATAGCATGCACGTTCCACTCAACCACAATCCATTGAATTTTTATCCGTGGGACCACATAAAGCAATTTGATTATGCAGCAGATATTAATAATAACAGACACGCATCACCAACGTGAAACCATTCAATATCTTTTGGGAATATTTGAAAGAGTCCGCCAGTCTATGATCCGACGGGTGCCGGCGTCTTTAGAAGCAAGCAGAAGACATTTTGAACATTTGTTATGTTTTGCTCTGTTGAGGTACGCCGATAACATTTTGGAGATATGTTTATATAGACATTTTACCGTGATTTTCTACGAGGTACCTGTCCTCAGAGTTTGAAAAGTATTTTAAGACATCTTGTATATAAATATATATGCTCCTTAAAATATGAGTAATATATATGAATCCATTCAGCTTTTATCTCAAATAACGACTTAAAAGAGACTGTTTAACCAACACAAGGTCTGACCAAAATTCATATTAAAAAATAAATAAATAAAATAAATGAAAACTATAAACAAAAGTTCATTTTCTCCATCGAGCCATTCATTTCTGTAGTTCACTGCTACTAACAAGCAGGCTTTTTTTGTGTCCTGATGATGGCCATGTTGGCCGAAACTAGTCGCGCAATAAAAACGAAATAATAATTATATACAACTCAGTGTGTCTGAAGATTTTAATTTTTAATATTTTAATATTTTAAGATTTTTTATTGTTCAAAATATATATATATATATATATATATATATATATATATAGGGAGAGAGAGAGAGAGAGAGAGAGAGAGAGAGAGAGAGATAGCAAGCAAGAGAATTAATACAAGTCAAATTATTGGCACATAGCTGATTGATGTTGCATTCAGCATCCAGAGTTTTGCTGACGGGCCGTCCGGTGATCACACCAGCCACTCGTCATGGGTATAAGCAATTGGTTATTTATACTTCACATTTTTTTCTTTTTTATACGCACTTTTCATTTGTGCAAGTTAATTTTTTTCAGACAAGCATTGATTTCATCAGCTGGATTTCTTCTTCCAATGATTGGTAATATTTGTCTACAATCACAAGAATCTAGTACATTCCTTGATTTGTGAATTCTGCCTAATGTCTTTCAGTGTTTTATCCAGCGACTCAAATGCTTGATTGTGTACCATGGTACATTTATTCCAGTCAATGAAGCTTGTCTCCTCCAGTAGCTTAGCAAAGTTGTTTCCTCTTTTGATATTGCAAATATGGGTTTCATTGTTCAAATCCAATGGAAGTTTGAAGCACTGTATGCTGTAAGCGCTCCAGATAATTGGAGTTTCACTGCAGACAAAAGAGGGTTAGTTACAAAAGTTTTAACAGTACCTCCAGATGCACCCAAGAAGAAAATCACCCCATTATTGTTGCTGATGCCATCAATAACTTTCTGATACACATGCTGTCGGTCTTGGTTCAACAGGGGCTCATTCTCCAAGTTTATTCCATTCAGATAACTAAATGTTTCGATGATTTACTAACAATTTGATGAGTGTTTCCTTCAACAATGCTGTGGAATTTAAAACGTGGTTTGATAAATTTTTCGAGGCAAAATTCAATGATTTCTGTCACTGAACAGTTAGTGGATCGTTGGCAGGAGATTGGAAACAATGAATGGAAATACATTTTTAAATGATTCATCAGAACTATATCAAATATTAAGTATGAAAATAAATTATATTAAAAAAAAACAGATTTATGGATCAATCTAATACTGTCCAAATTACGCTTCTATGTCGGGTAAATTGTCACGATTGCAGTTGTTTATAACACCTTAAGGATGATTCCTTAGTTTCGTAATATTGAGGAGCTATGATTCTCAGGATCAGGTTTTACGAAACCGTTGGATATATAATCCTGAAAAGTCGTTCCACATAAATTTTAATACCATGGTGAAAGACATGAAATAGTTAATAAAAACGCCTACTTGTTAATATGTTTGTTGTTCACATTATTCTGGTGACTGAAAGTTTATTTTCAACGACATTGGTCATGTACAGTAACTGTACAGTAGTAATTAGTAGCATAAAAGGAAAACATAAAAGACTTTTGTTGTTTTGCTAAATTTCCAATGACGAAATGCCATGAAAACAAAAAAAAACATTTTTAGGGAAAAATGTTTTGTAAAATATCACTTTTAAGGCACGGAATCTTTATTTTCTTCATTGTTCATTAACAATTAACGAGAACTTATAATCATATAGTGAACTAGCTGCATGTCCCGGCGTTGCCCGTGCTTGATTAAAAAATCGTTTGACTTATACAGCAATTTTCTTGCATGAAAAGGAAACAAAGAATGGAGTTTGCGTATCACTGGCTGAGGACTTCAGTGTAGACCACATTTTCAGCTTTTTGCGAGGGTGAATAAAGGAACACATCCTCGCGCCTGCCGACTCGAGAGCAAGCTACGTAAAGTTGGCCGTACACCAATGACAGACAGCGTGTGTCCTTGGGTCTTCAAACCCTTCAAATGTTACAGTTTTCCTATTGTCTTTTAACTTTATAAATATTGGCTTTTTCTACAAGTTAACTCTGAGAAATTTTTCATGAGACATTTGGTTCACTAACACACTAAAAAGAGAATGTCTCATATCGAGAATATTTAACATTGAAAAACATAAGAAAAAAAATATTTTTAATAATATGTGGAAATCTCCACGCTTTGCCTGATGAAGGTCGCGAGACCGGAAACGTGTGTAGCAAAATTATGGAAAATAAAGCATAATATTTAAAAAAAAAAAAATCCACATTAAACCAAAACGGTTTGCGGTTTCTTTCTTCTTTTAATATACACTTTTCTCTCGTTGGATCTACTATAACCTTTTCCTTTTATATATATATATATATATATATATATATATATATATATATATATATATATATATATATAGATAGATAGATAGATAGATAGATAGATAACAATGTAACAAATATGTTTCCTCTCACGCCAGTTATGTATGTATGTAAGAAATCTTTTTTGTGACAATTCTTTTTGACGACACGTGTTTTGACATTCAAACGTACGGTTTTGTGAGATGCTAGAGTAAGTGAAACGAACGTGACGGATAAGATTATGGAAGCATGTAAATATTGATGCGCAGAGACGTTTGTACGGTTGAGTAAATTCCGAAAAATGTGCATGATGGGAAAAATGGAATGTGAGAAAAGATATAGCTTGACAGACTTGAAGAGATAAAGAATTTACTTTCATTCAAAGACGAGTGAAATATAAGCCCGAAGAAAAAGAGGAAGTAAGAAAAGAAGCGTGGGAAAGAAAGTCGACGTTGTTGGAAGAGAAGAGGAGGGAGAAGATGGAGGGGATTTAGACGAAGACAGGGAAGATAGAATGAGAATAAGGCGAAGAGAAATGAGGAAAAACGATCAAGAAAGAAAGAATGGAGAAAATGGAGAGAGGTAAGAAGACAAGAAAGAAGACAGAATGACAAGAAGCAGTACAGAAGAGGAAGAAAAAGAAGATGAAGTTGAAGAAGAACGGGAAACAGAGACGACATTGTTGGAAGAAGAAAGGATTGGTAGATGAAGTGATGTGAGAAGAAGGAAATGGAGAGGGAATGGCATCAAGAAGACGAGGAAGAAAGATGTTATTTCTGGAGGGATATTGGCGGGGTAAATGAAGTGATGTTAGAAAAAGGAAATAAAGAAAAAATGATATCAAAAAGGAAAACAGGAAAGAAAGACGATATTTCTGGAGGAACAAAGGAAAGTTATTGAAGTGATGTTTAAAGAAGGAAATGATCAGGGAAGGATACCAAGAAGAGTGGATGAAGTAAAGTGGACATTTCTGGAGGAGTATTGAAAGGGTAAATTTTGTGATTTTAGAAGAAGGAAATGGATAGGGAAGAACACCAAGAAAGAAGAGTGAGAAGAAAGACGATATTTCTGGAGTTCTTAGTCCAGATATATCGTCTTTTGTCTTACACTTCTTTCTTGGTATCCTTCCCTCTCCAATTAGGGTTAATAAAGGTTAAATGAAGTGAGGTTATAAGAAGGAAATGGAGAGGGAAGACGAAAACAGAAAAAGGCAATTTCTGTTGGAAGAATTGAGGGTAGATGAAATGATGTCCGAAAGAAGAAATGATGTGGGAATTAAATGAAGAAGAAAAGGAGGAAAAAAGAAAACATTTATGGAGGAAGAAACGACGGGTACATGAAGTCATATAGAAGAAGGAAATGGACAGAGAATGGCGTCAGGAAGAAGATGAGGAAAGAAAGACTTCATTTGTTGGAGAAACGGAGGGGTAGATTAAGTGATGTTGGTAGAAAATGGACAGGGAATAACATGAAGAAGACGAAGAATAAAAGACGACATTTCTGAGTGTAAATGGTGGTTTAGATGAAGTGATGTTAGAAGGAGGAAATGGACAGGAAATGATATCAAAAAGAAAACGGGGAAAGAAAGATGACATTTCTGTTAGAAAAAGGAAGGGTAGATGATGTGATGTAAGAAGAAAGAATTGGACAGGGAATGACATCAAAAGAAGACGAGTAATCAAATTCGATATATCTGGAGGAATGTTGGAGGGGGCAATTATAATGATGTTAGAAGTAAATGGAGAGGGAATGGCATCAAGAAGAAGACGGGGAAAGAAAGACGTTATTTCTGTTGAAGAAAGGAGGGGTTAAAGAAGCGAAGGTAGAAAAAGTAAATTGACAGGGAATGACATCAAGAAGATGAGTAAACAAAGATGGTATTTCTGGAGGAATATTGGAGGCGTAAAAAACGTGACTTTAGAAGAAGGATATGGACAGGGAATGACGTCAAGAAGAAGTCGAGGAGAAAAATACGACATTTCTGGAGGATGAATGGAGGGGTAAATGAAGTTTTCTAAGAAAATGTGGAGGGAATGCCATCAAGAAGGAAAAGAGGGAAAAAAGTCAATATTTCTGGAGTAAGAAAGAAGGTTTGAATGAAGTGATGTTAAATGATGTTAAGATGGAGAAGGAAGCACTTCATGATGAAGAGAAGGAATCAAAGTTCTGGAAGAAGAAAGGAGGAGTAGATGAAATGATGTTAGAAGAAGGAAATGGACAGGGAATGGCATCAGGAAGAAGATAAGGAAAGAAAGACTTCATTTCTTGGGAAAAAACGTGAAAAGAAAGATAACATTCTTGGAGGAAGAAAGGAGGTGTAGAAAAAGTGATCTTTGAAGAAGGAAATGGCAGATAATGACATCAAGAAGAAATCGAGGAATGAAAGACAACATTTCTGGGGGGAAAAAGGAGGGGTAGACGAAGTGTTATTATAAGGAAATGGAGAGTGGATGATATTAAGAAAAACCTGTTACAATTCTATGGGACTACACAATACACATTGATAGAACAATCAAAGCTAACCACCCAGACATTGTTATTAAAGACCACGAATAAAAAAGTGCCTCCTTATTGATATGGCTCTCTTTGCAGACTGCAATGTATCTATGAAGATATTCAAAAAGCTGTCAAAATACAAGGACCTTGAAATCGAAATCTCGAAAATGTGGCATATGGGAACATCAGCAATCCTTGTTGTAGTTGGAGCCCTAGGATTGGTTGGAAAAGATTCGAGTAGACTAATTGAAGAGATTGCTGGAAGTCCATCCCTCAAAGAAATACAAAAAATTGTTCTGACAAGTACAGCCCACATTTTACGAAGGACTTTATCTATGTAATTTTTTTTTGTCAGTGAAAAATGTCATGATGCCATTTCAAACCATAGGTTTCTGGGGGAGACCCGGAAAAAATGTGTACACGCTAGAAATCAAAATAAATAACAACAATAACAACAACAACAACAATAGCAACAACAGCAACAGCAATAATAATAATAATAATAATAATAATAATAATAATAATAATAAAGAAATAAATATTTTGCATATTTTTCAGGACATTATAAAAACTGGAGAATATGCAAATTTTACGGGAAGAAAATTTGCAATGGATTGAAATGTCGTAGAATAAATTTAATCAATAATATAAACATCGAAACCTGCACAGTTTAGTTCTCCTTTTTAAATGGTAATGCTGAATAAAGTGTTCCATATAAAGTTGTTTGTAAGTGAAAATTGTATCGATAAGGAATATAGATCAAAATTGACCCTTGACTTTAAGAGGTTCAGATTGTAGCGTTTAGGAAAACATCAATGCCGGAGACTTGAGAAGGAGTTGTCTGTGGGGAAGGTTTTGATTTACATTGAGAAAACAGACGAAACGAGGATGCTTCTAATCTCTGGATGTGGCATGGCGTGCAAATGTCTCTACTGGGAGAAGAAAAGAATGCAGCTCATTTGAGCATATGTCATGAAAATAGCGATCGATAAGGCTTCCAACTTTGCGTCGGTAAGTTATCCTCTACAAGACCACGTAAAATGTTTGGCACTCTATCAAGGCTTGAAAGTGGGAATGTCAGCCTAGACCTGCCAGCAATACTCAGTTTTTTGGTCAGACTCTTGTAACGATAAATCCTGTCAAAAAATAAAAAGAATAAAAATAGGTTCTTTCTGGTGAGGTACGAGGAGACACTTGAAGTTTGGGTGAAATTTAGTATAAATATGTTGGTTGGTTATTTGATTTTATTTACCGGCATATCAACACCTGTATGGGTTATTTAATGCCGAAATCGATATTTATATTTACACAATTTTATTGCTTCAAATAAATATATTTTGTGCGCAATTGTAACCCTTCAACTACAGATAAAATGTATTGTTGGTCATTTTGCTTTAAAAATGTATTGTTGGTCATTTTACTATAACAAGTATTGTTAGTAATTCTTAATATATATAAATGTTCTTTGTGGATGTTATGGCTATTAGTGCTGGGTTGATTCTTTCACCTAAACATCCAAAACTCGTTGAATGCCTTCGTCGCTGAAATAAATTGACAAAGAAAAGTCGGAAGGATACGGAGACACTAGAGGGACAGTTTAGGACACTGATTTTATTTCCTTCTTTTGGATTCCAACAAGCTCTTGTTGGGGAATTTATTCCCGAACAGTTGGCACGTGTTCACCAGTCAAAGGTCCAACCGAGAAAGAGACAGATTCTTCTAGTTTATCTTTGGCGCCAGGAAACCTCTCTTTTTTGCACATGCGTAAATTGTCTTTCCTGTCAGAGGACTCCTGGGAGATTTTAATGTTTATTTTATTTTGTACTTTTATTTAATTTTGTATTTTTATTTTATTTTGTATCTTTATTTTATTCCCACATCTTAGTAATCTTTTTTATATAACAGTATATTGTTTGCATTTGTACTATGAAAACGTTTTTAATACGTTCATAGTGTTTTGTTTTTGTTCGGAGAATTCACTATTTGCCCATAGCTGGGGCCCTAACAGGTAGTACATTCCCGGGTCATGGTAAATTTGGGAACAACATCAATTAAGTGTGGTGACATACTCATCAAAACCACCCAAAAAATGTATGAGGAAATGACCCTGGGAATAATGTCAGCATTGAAGATGACATAAATACCTCCTCTGCTAACGATGTTAATGAAACTTTCGTAGCATCTATCTTTGACACGGAAACCTAGGATATAGATTAAGAAGGTGTTAATATCGACGTAAATATTTCTTTAAAAAACGGAGGGTTAATTTAATGATGTTAGAAGAAGGAAGTGGAGAATGTTTTGGGTTAGTATTTTGAACTGTTTGTTACGAATAATTAATAATTGGTTTGCGTATATAACACGCACCATTAACCTTTATTTTTATAAATATGAAAAAGGTGCGTGTTATACATGAGTAAACCCGATACATAACTAATTTTTGATATCAACAATTAAATAATAACACCTTTTTTTGCTTTTTTTATGCTTTCGTCCCAAGTGAGGCAATAATGCCACTAAGACTCAAGGTGTTAGTGTGCATGAAAGAATATAGAAAAGGTAAAAGTTGAATTTGGTTGGACATCAGTTGAGGAAAGAAACCATGAAACCAATCTTTTGTGTGATTAGGTTGTGAACTGTTGTAATCTGGGAAAGGTTACTGAAGGAGGTCTAACCAAAACGGAGGTTGGAAATGTAAATACTAAACTTTATGACATTAACAAAATATAATACTCGCCAGCGGCATGAAATAGGTAAACCACTTGTAGCAGGTGACTACAAAGACAGTATATTACCCCCGCTTGCAATAGTGTCCATCGTATTTATGAGCATTATGACATACCCATTAATGTTCATAGGTACGGTATATAGCATGAATTATTCACCAGGTGGCTGAAATATAAAAATTTATATGGTGACATATACGGCGTGTTATGTTCAGTTTTGACTGAAAAGCAAAAGGTCGGAAATGCGAGAGAAGAAAATATTACCATAGAACTTACGTTTGCAAGCCATTTCAACAGGAAAACGATGAGACCTAACTGCCAATCTAGTACTGGGTTTAAATTCCTAAATCGCGGTACAAAAGTGAGGAGTGAGGTTCTCATCAGAACTATGAAAATATTCAGAGGGAAGACACGGGGAAGTTACGTTACGGCGGTGTAAAACTGAGATGCCGGATCAGGACCGATAAAACTGCAGATTGAATTAGTTATTTTGTTTCCTATCGATACTAGTAATCTGCATTCTGTTGTGGATTAAATCGGACACCCATGGTAACACAAATGAACTAGACAAAACGCCTTAAATAAAGAACCTAAAGTGAGTCAGCAGATTTCCGATGGAGTCAATAAAGAAAGTTTTAAGACGTCATGGCGAGTGGCCTAAGCAAGAAATAATATTATAACCGCTAGAAGCGATTTATAACAGTGGCGACGATGGATCGAAACTCATAGGGAGTAGAAAAAGTACTTTTTGCTTCGGTGCACATGATAATAGTGAGGACGAGAAATTAGAGCCATTTTCTCTGATTTATTTTTGGTGTATGTAAAAAAGAAAAAAGAGAAAGAAGAAAAATATATTCCTTAAATATGAAATAATTGGTAAAAATACTACAACGTGGTAAAAAATACAACAGCAGCAGCAACACCAACAACAGCAGTTGTAGGAACTCCACTTGCTGAAAAAGTCGTCAAGTGGAAATGGACTGATAAGTATCAGTAGCCGTTTGAAGAATTGAAGAAAATATTAACGACAGACTTATCATTAGTGCACTACGGTCAAAAAGCAGAAATTGTATTGGCTTCAGATGCTAGTAACTATGTTATACGTGTAGTAATTCTACTTAAATATGATGGCTGTATCTTGATAGCTGTCGCAGATGCTTCAGGTTCGCTACTACCGGCTGAAAAAATACACCTGAGTGGAAATGAGGCGTTAGCAATAATATTTACTGTGAAAAGATTTCGCAAATTTTACACTGAAGGAGAACTTGTTTACAGACGGACCACCGTCCTCTATTATCAATTTATGGTTCGAACAAAAAATAAATAAATAAAAAAGTAGAATTCATACGCATACAGGGAATAGATTACAACGCTGGGGTAATATCTTATAAAAAATACGATTTCAGGATGGAATACAAACCCTCAAAAAATTTGGACATGCTGATGTTTTATCAAGATTGATACCAAAATATAATGAATTGTTTGAGGACACTGTTATTGCAGTATTAAAGACAAAAACAGGAGATTAAACATGCAATGTAGTATGCGAACTACGAGTTACCTTGGAAGAAATAAAAGTAAAACAGAACAATATATGTTTATTTCGAAAATAAAAAAAAAGAAACGGTTAAAAGAAAGACGATTTTTAGAACGTTAAGTGACGTAATAATGATGATTGCACAAAGAGTACTAATACATATTAAAAACAGCGGGTACTAAATGAATTTCATAGTAGACATTCAGGAATTACGAAGATGAAATCTCTTATAGGAAGCTATGTATACTGGGCGAAAATGGATCAAAACATTGAACAATCAGTAAAAAAAAAAAAAAAACTGCAGAAGTTGTGCTGCTGCACCCAAATCCTCTACCATGAAATTACAAACTTGGCGAAAGACACATATTCTGTGTACAAGACTACACATAAATTTCGCAGGTGCAGTATACTGATTATATTATCTTGTGGTAGTAGAGAGATTTATTAAGTGGCCTGAAATTTGTGAGTGCGAAAAACTACTTCCACGGTTACGGCGAATCTTTCGGCGAACTGTTTACAAGATCTGGTGTTCCGGATGCCATTGTCTCAGATAACGGTACACAATCCAATGCTTACGAATTTAAAGAATTTTGTAAAATGTTATCGATCGAACATATTACTTCAGCGCCGAATC